AACTGTGTAAGAACTTTAACTTTCACACGACTGAAAACTATTCAATTAAAATACTGAATTATTTCTGTGAATACAAATAATTGCTTAAAAAATAATCTCCAGACATTTAGACGTCGACTAACCTGCTGTTGCATCGCATTCAGTAAAAACAAAAATAATTGGCCATGGACATTATTTATGGAATATTTCTTATCTTCTGTTGATGCATTTCCTGTAGGTGTTGCTCTTTGTTGTTCGACCAGTAGCAGCTTATTATCCTACAACTTCACAGCCCTTATTCTTATTTCAAATAAACCCATAAACCCTTCATCATTTCCTCAAAAAGATGTTTTTCGTGGCAAGCGGCGACTGTTGCCAGGAGTCCACAACAACAACCAGCGGAACATCTTTTTGATAAACTGAGCGCTGCTGAATCATTCTGCTCTTTGTCACTGTGGACTGTTATCTCACATGTCTCAGAGTTACTGACCTGTGCGGCCGGGTTAGCTTTAGGCTTTGCCGGCTCATTCTGGTTAGTGTCAGTGGAGCTTAGCTGAGGTTTGGGGTTGTCGGCCCGAGGCTGAGGCCGAGCTCCGGGCTGCGTCTGGGGCTCGGCGGGGGGCTGAGCTTGAGGCTGTGAGGGAGCTTGTTCCTGCTGAGCAGTAGGAGGGTAGGGGCTCGGCGGGATTTGTGTGGCAGCGTAGGGAGTGGGAGTGAAGTTGGCGTAAGGGCTGGGCGGGATGTTAGCGTACGGACTTGGAGGTATGACAGCGTACGGGCTCGGGGCGTATGGGCTGGTAGGGTGGTGAGGCAGGGGACTCGAGGGAGGGCTTGTGATCGGGGACATGGGAGGGCTTGACACTGGGCTGACCATGGCCATGGCCTGCATGGTCATCTGCTGAGCCTGAGAGACAAGAATCCTCAGCATTAAAATCCAAAACACGAGACACGTAGCGAGACACGGATCCTCACAGAGGGCTTACCATGATGATGGCCTGCTGGTTCACGATTGCCTGCTGCTGCCGGGCCAAAACAGCCTGCTGTGCATCTGGAGGAGAGAGGAGCAGATAACACAGTCAACAGGAGAGGAGGAGAATTATGTTCGAGCTTTTCCTTTCCTCGTGTTTCTTTCCACATTTGATACGAACCAGGTGTCACAGGTGCCACGGCTGCAACAGGAGGCGACATCACACCTCCCACGGGAAGGACTCTCACAGCTGTGGACACACAAACAAACACAAACACACACAGATTTTTAAGTGTGTTTTCTTTACTGCTGTGAGTGAATGATGAATGAGTGAACGAGCGCTGTCTCCTGTGTCTGACCTCCAGGTGGAGGTGGGGGGCCCGTGGACTGCCCCTGCTGATGCCAACCCCCTCCGACTCCCCCAGCCCCCTTCATCCTGCTGGAGAGTCCTGCGGCCGACTCTACTTCCTGTGAAATATCAAGCCTCAGTCACATTTCTTTGTCACTACGGTTTGAAATTTAATCTTAGAAATCATGTCGGTAATGGAAAGTTTTTACTCCTTAATATCAGCATTATTAAAAAAAACATCCATTGATCGGGCTCTAACAAATGTAGAAATGTGTTTTGAATAAACTCAACTGATGCTTAAAGACTTTATTTTACTGTGACGCCATTAAATATTTGATACGAAAGATATTTATTTAGCGAATAGATAAAAATGTGAGTAATATTCTCGTGATGGGATCTTTGAGCGTCAGACCTCTTGAATGTGCAGCTGTTCCATCAGAAATCAGCCGCTGACACTCAAATCCACAGGACCATGTGTCTGTGGGCCATGTCTCATTAAATAATAAGCCCTTCATTTGCCAGAGTGTCAGTTCCTCGTAAGCCGATACGCGCGTTGCCTGGTTCGGAAATCACCGTGGCGATCTAGTCGCTGTGACAGTTACGGTAACTGGGTAACGTAATAAGTTGCTGGGCGGGAGAGCTCTGTAGAACACACCTGATACATGCTAATTCCTGTCAGTCACATCCGATAGCACGGCTAACGTTCACCACGCTGCCTTCCCGGGCCGAAGACTGATAGAGCCGACATGGCCAGAATTCAGCGCACCACTGACCCGACGCATTGAATTAACTCAACCACAATCCTCCTCTTCTACCACTGCAACTATAACGTTTCTACCGGTGGAGACGTGTCGTGTTTAAAGTTGCTGTCATCTGTCATCCAAATACACATTTCTGAGCTTTTTGTTTATTTTACTTTTTCAATTATTTAACTGTTAATGTCACCGGTGTTAAAAAGTGCTATAAATACGGTTTACTGATCTTATTAATATTAAATCATACAAGCTCACAGCAAAACACTACATCTCTACAAGTCTGCCACAGATACAATGAGGATGCAACTGCACTAAAGAGAATTTATTTTTGCTTTTAAATAAAAGCATTCAGATCCTTCGCTGTGACCTGTGAAGTTAAGCTCAGGTGACCACACGTGATGTTGAGAGCCGGTTCTCCTTCTGGAAGTTTCTCTCATCTTCACGCAGCAGGTAGATATAAGGCTTCTCGCTCATTAACAAGGCTGCCGGCGTGTTAACAAGTAACTTAATTATGACGTGGACTCACTTCATGCTATTTTCCGACTAACGCAGCTTTTCAGAGCGGTCAGGTCAAGTGAGTTTCACTGTGAGTGAGTTACGTAACTTACCCCAGTTCCATCAGACAGCACAGGGTCAAACAGGCTGTCGAGATAACGATCCATCCCTCTCTGAGGCTCCGAGTCTGACAGAGGGGAGGAGAGGAGGAGAGGAGGAGAGGAGGAGAGGAGTTCTGTTGTGATCAAAATTACCGAGTGTTAATATGTTTGCTTGAGCGTGTAGGCCTACCATCATTGCCAAGTATGGGTGAAGTTGTGAAATCATCCTTTGTGTCAAACCCACCGCCCAACAGGCTTCTGTAAAACAAAAGCAAATAAAAAACATTCAGAACAACCACATCTTCATCAGTAAACCTGTCAGTGGCGAATTTGACAACCAGCTGCTGGTCATTAACACTTTACGCGTCAATATTCACAATCTTTTTGCTCAGTTTCTGGCTCTTTAGCTGCTTGATGTCCAATACTGACTTAAAAACAGTTTTAAATGGTCCTGACCATTAGAGTCAAGTCTCAGTGTCTAAAGGAACGAATAAGAATCTCCCAAAAAATTAAGAATTGTTAAGAAGTGTCTGGTTCAGTAACTCAGCTGTTGGAGAATCCGCTGTAAGATTTTAAGATCACAGTGTTTAACCCATGTTTAGACAAATTTCAGTCTGTGTCTGTGACCAAATAAGTCCCTGTGTTCGAGGACTGCTTGAGTGAAAAGCGCTGAGAGAAGCTCATGTTTAAAATGTTAAAAACAAATTATCAGCTTCTGAAAGACGTCAAGGTAGAGGTCTCCACTTTGAGAGGGAGACATTCTCTTGACAAATATTGAAAGAAAACTTCTAAATCAGTTACAAATTCACCTTATGAATTAGTTATTGTGAATTAATTATGATTTAAAACGTTATTTATTTTTTGTCCATCTCACATGCTGGCATTGGGCCGCACTCTGGTGGGTTCCTGTGCAGAGATGATGAAGTAGCTGCTGTGTTTGGGGAAGTCGGCAGGAAGCTCCAGGTCCGACATCAAGTCCAGGACATAGTCCGAGCCCTCCAGCTCCACCCACTGAGCCGGCTCCTTCAACAGCACCGACCAGCCTCGACGGCCCTCTACCACACCCCTAAACACACACACACACACATGCTTTTACAACATTTCTTTCCAATCCGTGTTATCAGTGTTTGTGTTTTACTGGAAGGTGATACCTGTGTTGTAAGATGTCTTTGGCCATTTCTTCTCCTGTTGTCCAGGAGTGTAGAGGACACAGGAAGGATACACCTGAAGGAGAACAAACACAATGCAGACAGTAAGACACCGACTGACATTCAGCTATTCATCAACAGAAACTACTGCTGTGTATTTTCCTCTTGGAAGATATTAAAGAGTCGTTTGAATCAGATTCAAGAATGCCTCTACGACAAGGTTGGTGGCACTGATCCCTGTCTGTCAGTGAAGATCCCCCAGCACCAACAAACGCAGCTGCTGAACCAGAGCGAGTATCAGGTGTTGTCTAATCCTCCGAGGACAGATTAGTTAATGAGAGGAGGAAATGAGAGAGAGAGACTTAAACTCTTCTGTTGAATAGAGTTTACATTGACGGGGCTCAGGTAAACAAGTAAAACAAGACAGGTGAGGTTGGGTCACACAAGAGGAGCTGGATACGGTGCGGTGATGTATACCCTGTGATTTACACCAGTCACCACACAAACGTATTCATGGAGAAAAACAGTCAGGATTTTTAAGATAAATGCAAAATAAGAAGAGATGCACTCAGGTTCATTCATCTGTAAATTTTATTTAAACACAAAGTCTCTTCAGAGTCCAGTAAATTTCTGTTTTTACTGAAGAACAATGCTTTTTCTAGACCTGGCACAAATGACAAATAAAAATCATGGTGTTATCAAACGTGTGGACTCACCATCAAAGCAGTGTATGTGCAGGACAGTGTGAGCTCTCTTGCGATTGGCTGTCCACTCCAGTAGACAGGGCGGGTAGGTCCGGACGTACTCCGGCCCGACGTTCAGCCGCTGCAGAGCCTGAAGCAGACGGTGCTGACACACGCAGTTGTAGCCCTCCGGACCGTAGTCAGACACAAACCTGCAACAACAAACATGAACAGAGACAAATCTGTACGGCAGCTGCACGGGATCGTGTGCAGAGGGACACCGGAAAAGAAGGGAATAGAAAGTCCAGAGCTGAAAGGACTTAAAATGTTACATCGATAGTTTTCGTCCTTCTTCCATGGACATTATGTTTTCAGCCATGTCTTACTTCAGCAGGTACTTGGCCAGTCTTTGAGAGGGCAGGAAGGCAGAGAGACAAGAGGAGAGGAGGAGCCAACCACGCTCTGAATTCAAAATGTTCGGATTCCTCCAAACCTAAAAGAGGAGAGGAAATGGAAGAGAATAACATAATCGGCTGAGATTATGTGCAATTCCGACTGTTCAGTCTTTTCAAAAAAGAGGAAAAGTTCTCACCTGATTGGCTACCTGAGCCAGGATCTCATCTCGGAGGCTGGGATTGGCCAGTCCTCTCTGGATGATGTAGTTCCCAAACAGATTCTCCTGAGCCCCATTCAGGTTGGGATCACCCATGAACCTGAGTATCTGATTCACAACATATTCTGTGAGATTTTAAAACATTTTTGCAAAGGCTGTAATGTTCTTTTTACTTATTTATAAATAAATAAAAAGTTAATGCTTTTTGGCCTCTTGTCCACAAATGGCATTTCAGTTAACTGAATATGGAGCTTTTGCTAAAACTCTGTCTGATGACTCTGAGATGCTGAGTTTGAACTTTGAGTTTCCCAGTAAAATATCAACATGATGTTTTCATACCAGAATGAAAATGTTCAGGGATCTTTGTTTCAGATCCTCATCCAGTCTGATCAGAGAACAATCCAGTGGAGCAGTCAGCAACCCGAACAATGGCTCCTACGACACACACACACATACACACACAAACAAATGATTCTACACAAAAAATGTTGCAAAGGTCCATTTATGTTTTATTCATGTGTCCCTGCAGTTTTACACAAATACCAATCTTTGTTTTTGTGTGGGGCTCTGTGCATGTTTGTGTGTTTACCCTAAATATGGCCCGGACGTAGTGTGTCATGAGGTAGTTGTTGATATCCAGGGGCAGGGTGAGCTGAGGGTCAACCTGAACCTTTGGAGCCTGGACCACAGCCAAGCAGTCAGAATGAAGCTCTTCACCACCTGTGAGCACACACACACACACACACACACACACACACACACACACACAAACACCGAAGGCCATGTGTCATCGCAGAAAAAGTGCACAGTGCATATTGTTGCGCCTGCCTGCACACAAGGTGGAACATATCTGTAGATGTGTTACTCATGTGCAACATCTGTTTATCCAGTCACATGACGGGGACTCGAAAATATAATGACCTTTTGAGGTGAAGACATGTTTTAAGGCTAATGTCAGTCAAGCAGTAAATACTCCGCACATCATCACAACTGGGAGCAGGGGTGTTGTTTCCATCCCTGTGTGCGGACGTGTGTGTGTCGCATGAGCTGATTTCTATCTAAGTTGGCAGAAACATTGCTTGGGAGGGTTTTCTCCAGATGATCAACTTTGAAGCTCGTCCGTCATGGAGGGGGCCTGAGCGGTATCGAATCTGTTCTGCCTACAGAGGATGGTAAAAAACGTTATGGATGTTCAAGCATAAACGAGGGTGGACTCGTTCATGCTGATGGTCGGTCTGATGGTGACGGACGGGTCAGTGTGTGTGTGTGTGTGTGTGTGTGTGTGTGTGCAGGTGTGTGTACCTGAGGCGACTTGCAGCAGGGCTGCCAGCTCAGCAGGGATAGGCAGCGTTGTCACATTCACTACTTCTCTATTGACTCGATCCTGCAATACACAAACCAACACTTAAAGTGCATCACACACTGACACAACCTCATATTTTCTCGGAGCGTGACCCTCCTCCCTCTCAGACACTTCACATAACGTCCTCACTCACCTCCTCTGCCTTCCTCGCTGGCTCCAGCACTGTCTGACAGAAAGAAAAAAACAGCATCACACTTCACACATTTGTTCATTTTTCGTTTTAACTTCTAAGTCAAATACTGTCAATATCAACGGAATTTTCTCAGTTCACGTGCACACAACCACAGCGCACATACCCTCATGTAACGCTGGCGGTTGACAATAAGCAGCACGGCTGAGCGGAACCTTATGAGGTACTTCCTCCTCAGAGCAAACTTTACTCTGTCCAGGAAACACAATAAACATGGAGAATGGATTGTTCATAAATCAGAGAGACAGCAGAAAGTGAGAATTTACTCAAAACGTTCAATAATCTAAAAAAAAAAAAACCATTCCCAGTAAAAGATTTATAATTGTCGGTTTTATCCGACTGGTAGTGAGTGAGAGATCCATCACCTGTGATGGATGAGCGTGGCCTTAATTCTCTGGCCTCGTCTCCTCACATCAAGGACAAAAGAAGCGGGTTGTCCGCGATAAGCTTTGATCTATCTGGCACCGTGAAACCAAACACTGAAGCCCAAATGGCAACGCTCAGGACTGAAACTCCAGACTCGAGCGGGACAGCGTGCTGAAGAAAGTTTAAACTCAACCTTCAGGGAGAGAATGATGATGCTGACTAACTGACGACGAGGGAAATAACAGCTTTTGATATTTCTTTGGAAAAACTCCCTCTTCTTTTCTCTTTGTACAACCAGCATGTTATGGAGAGGCATTTCTTTTGCATGTGGATTTATTTAAAGACGTTATTAGATATTAAATGTAAGTTGTGAAACTAGCAGCTGGCCTCTCAGGAGCATTACCTCGCCACGTAGCCTCTGCAGCGAGCTTCGAACAGCGTCAAACGGCGCCGGAACTTGATAAAGTTCTTTCGGACAAAATACATGCGAGTGTATCTCTGCAGCGTCATGGCAGCGAGGTGCAGCACACGGTCACGCTTCCCCTCCAGCAGCTGATACAACTCCTCTTTCAGGAAAATCTAAAACACACACACACACACACACACACACAAATAAATCTACATGAACAGCATTTATTTCTAACACTCGGTCTATTCAACCTCACATTTTCTGCATGTGCGTGGGCCTTCCCTGCACTGAGGGAGCTCACCTTACTGACTCCCAGCTGGTACGAGCCGTTCTTCACCGGGCCGAGCTTGTGAAGCATGATGACACAGTTTTCACCGTCTGCAGGCGGAAGATCCTTCAGGCAGAGGAGGCCTTTATACCTGCGTGCACATACGAGCCCACACACGAGTTTAATATGATATTTGCATTCTGAAGTAAATATGAAGGAAGCTACATGGGTCTTAACTTTGTGAATCTGGGACGCTGTGAGTGTGATTCACTTTATTCTGGGTTTTAATGTTTGGAATTGAGTCGTTCCGGTGTGAATCCAATGGACTGTGAATGCTGTTTCTTGTAATAAGTCAGAGTACCTCAGTGGTCAGAGGTGCTGTGAGATCAATTGGTTTCAACTGCTTTCCTGCTGCAGGAGCGGGCGAGAGGCCAATGGCAATTTCAGCATGAAAAAACGGTGTGTGAATTATTCTTTTGGCAGAAAAAGCCAACAGGTCAAGTAATTTTGACAGACTGAAAGTGGTGAGTTCTAATGGGGCTGAAAAAAACCTGAACGAGAGGCTGTTATAATCTGTATTTTATCTTCGGTTCAACTGGTGCTCACATTTCTCACATTTACTGAAAATGAGTAAATCACCAACCTTGATAGGAAACTGTGAAAGTTCAATCTGATTGGATAACCGTCCTTCCTGATAAGGATGGTCTCCATGATACCAGAGTAATGCAGCTGAGCGTTGACCAACTCCATGTCAAATGCTCCTGGCTCCTACACACACACACACACACACACACATAATAACTCGCATGAGCTGCATAAAAATCAAAATGCAAATAATCACCGCAAAACCTGCGCACACCATCCAACTTGCAGATATACCTTATGATGGTTTGGCTTGATGCATCGCACAAAATAAGGGTTACACCTGTCACAGATGGATGAGAGCGAATGGATGGAAAACAGTTTGATGAAAGAGTGAGTATATTTGTCTTGTGTAACAGGAAGTCATCTGTCAAACAGGAAGGAACTGAAGTAAAACCAACGTTCTGAGCAGGAGAATGAAAACGCAGGGCACATGTGAACCGATCTCCGGAGTTCTTGTGTGACTGAGCTCAAATCAAGCAAATGAAATTTATCTGCCCGAGAGAAATGGCTCCTCTGAACAGTGACACTGGATGATTTTAACGTTGCCAAAGTTGATCCCTGAACGCTAATGCAAAACCAATGGCTCAGATTTTATTGTCAGTTTTAGGCACAAGCCCATAATATTACACGTGTCATTGATTTGGGCCGTGGAAGAGATCGCTCCCTGTTTCACTCCCTCCATCATTTCATACACTCTCTATCTCGCAATGAATTTTAGACGCTTACAGTGCGACTCATTATCGTGAGTCACAGATGCGTGAATACAATTTGTATGCCTGGCAATTATGTGACTTTACTAATTATGGTACAAAGACGTGTGAGCGGTTTCCTTCAGATTAAGTGAGAGGTGTTTTCGTGCGAACCTTTCCATCTTCTCCAGCAGCTCCTGCAGGCTGCTCTGAAACTTCGCACTGACCGTGTTGGCTTGATAGCGCCGCGCCGCGCTGCTGCGTCGACCATTCGACCGCTGCTGAGACACAGACTCTGAGTGCTTCAGGAAGAGGCTGGACACCATCTGTATAAACACATAAAGTAATTAGCAACAGGTCAACCGCCTGACCACCTACGGTTACTGATAAGTATGTTGGGGAATGTGATAATAGAAAGTCTGTGTTTGCAAGTCTCACTTTGTTCCTGCTCTGGGTGAAGAGGTCTAAAACATCCTGACGGACCATGTCGAAGTTCTTATCCAAGAATTTAGTCACCTGCGCCACCAACCATGAAATATATGTTTATGAAATAAGTTGACAAAAAGGTGCAATAAGAGTCGATTTGTATAAAAGAAAAAAGCAAGAAAAAAACAGAGCGAACGAACAAGTAAGACAGAAAGAAAGAAAGAGAATGAACCTGATAGGTGACTCTCCCAGCGTAGTGTTTCAGGGTGAACTCTGGCAGTGGCATCTTTGGCCTGGCATACAGCGGGTTGTTTCCATGGTGATAGTGGCACTTCTGAAGGAAGGTGTGGTCTGTTGCCTAGCGATGGATGGAGACAGTCAACGGCTGCCGAGCCATGGAAAAATAAATCTCCACAGCACAAACACATGTTGCCCATGTGTGTCGAGCAGATTGCCTCAGTCAGTTACCCGTGTAGCGTCGTGTTCATATTTCACTTTGAGCATCGGAGACGCTCCGTAACGCGTTTATCTGAGCTCGGTCTGCTCCGCGCGTTAGGAGCCCCAGGAATAATGGCAGCAGCAGGTTGGCAATTAAGTGTTCATGTGGGATAGTTTTGTATTGATCGGAACTGGCTACAATACGCTTCAGTCCCCTGGTTTATGGGAAATCCAATATGTGAGAGGCTTTTTTTTTTTTTTTTCCAAAATCAATTTCTTCTGAAAACTGAGGAATTATTTGAACCATGAATCGGCCGTCGTCTTTGTTTTCCCCCCACGATGCTCAAATAGTGACACTCTTCTAAGTACCAGTGTCTCAGCTCAGTGGATCTCTTGTGCACTCACCATGCATCTATATCTTTTTTTTTTTTAAAAACAACAAGAAGTTCAGTTTAACAGGTACCTGAGGGAAACCGCACTGGTCGTCCAGTATCCGCAGTATCCCATGAGGCTTAGCAGCAATGAGGTCAAGACAGGCCTGGTTGTGGCTAAAAGGCTTCTGCTGCCACTCGATCTGCTCCCGCATGTACTCCTCCTACACACAGCACAAGAGTTCATCAGGTTGGTTTATAAAAAAAAAAAACTCTTCCAACCCCACTGTTGGTTTTTCACTTCATTTAGACGTGCTATGCTTTGTGAGTTTTAACGACCTAGTGGGTCCAATAAAGCTTTTCTGAGATGCAGGACATGTCAGGTCACAAAAGAGGCTGTTTGTCTTTTGACTTTATTAAATCTTTTCAGGCCTCATAAGGCTTCAATTTACAATTTCACACCAAACTAGTTTAGTCTGGACCTTCAGACTTTTCAGAAAGTTTCCTCACGCCACGGTTCGGAACAAAATACAGTCCATATAATCAAAAGAGGCGGTCTCTGTACGGATCAAGTAGTGATACTGTACTGTGATTATTTTACAGTGGCGATGAAATTAAATAAATGGATCGGTTCAAACAGAAAGACAAGGAAAAGAACACTGGTTATGACTTTCAGGTGTGAAAAAGAAAATTGGATATAACCATTTAGTTGAGGGTTTCATTTCGAGAGACTCCAGGTTACTTCAACAATCTGAGAACATATTTAAACACAGTCACCTGTAGTGATCCATCACACAACACTAACCCTCCTATCCTTGACCTTTAATACCATTTATTTCATATGTATTACTGATATAAGCTGTGATGTGCCGCTCTCTGACTTCTGCTTTGTGTGTTGAAGTCAGCGTACAGACACTGAGGAGCTCTGCAGTGGGAGTGCACAGCTTTCGCTTGAGGCGCTAATGTGTCTTCATTTTTTTTTTGTACAAATAATCAAATGCTGAGCTGAGGAAACTGACGGAAGCAACTTACTTTTACTGGGGCTTTAAAAGAAATTAATCTCGACTACAAGGATGAATTGGTACTCGTAATGACCTCTCATTTCATCTCGACGCTCCGCTGTCACAGTCATACTTTCTCTGTCGGAAGTATTAGTCACGGACATGCGCACATTTAAAAAGCTGATAGGAAGACCTCTTAGACACACATATATATATTTATATATGCATAAAATGCTGAATAACTGTATTTAAATGTGCAGTTTCACTATATTTGCTTCTTTTAAAATCTAATTTAAGGGTCTGGACATCTTTTGATACACAAATCACCCAATAATTCCTCGTTAAGGAAACATGTGAGAGCGTGTGTGAGAAAAAAATAAACTTGTAGTTTTGCTGACCTGCTCCTCCTGGAAGACGACCCTGTTGAAAAAGAACTGCAAAGTTTCGTTGGCGTAGTTGATGCACAACTGCTCAAAACTGTTCACCTGTAGCTCCTGCAGGGCAAAGAGCGGACATGTCGTGGGGTTGTTTGTGTGGGTTAAACATACGTCAGCTCAGATGCATCAGCTGCGAAACATCATTGAGCGGCATCGTGTTTCAGCGTGACCTCAAATCCATATATGTCCAATATGGAGATGGAGAGGGCTTCGTTGCGAGGGTAGACCCGTCCGTTGATGCGCTCTGTCAGCCAACTAAACAGTAGCGAATACAGGATCTTGGCAACAGCATCTCTGTGAAAAACACACAATAAGGTTTCTATGGAAACAGAAAGCCTGGTTCCTATGGAAACAGAGGACATCTGAAAAATCTTTCCCCCAGCCCTGACGTCCTTTGTCCTCACATGCCTCCACCAAACATTGGAGGAGGATATCAAAGATTGTTCACTATCTCTAGTATTCTCCTGGTACGACTTTAGAGAGGAGTGAAAAAAAATTAGGAAATCAAAAAAATCTCAAACAGGACAGTCAGACCGATATTCTTGGGGAAATGATTGAATTTAACAGATATTACATTCAGACTTTTATTCACCTGGCATCCACAGCACTCTCCACTGTGAGCGGGGTGTAGATCTTCTCTCGCACTGTATCCTAGGAGTCAAACACACCTGTGGTCAGACAACATCATCTCCTTAACGGCTGTATTCGGATTCCTGATGTCTATAACGAATGTGCATTTTTATGTGAAGTGAGTTCTCCTCACTGTCAGCTTGAAGGTGACAGATTTCTGCAGGCCGTCGGGTGAGATCTGCAGCAGCTCAGCCACAACCCTGATCTCCTGCCCACTCACCACAGACGCAACCTTCTGACCCTCAGCCTGCAGGGACGCACACCCACACACACACACACACACACTTGCATAAATGTATTTTTTTTTTGCAGCTGAGGGAAAATGATAATAAAGTTGATCAATGATGGTAATAATCAAAGTGTGTGTGTGTCTCTGTGCGTGTGTGTGTTACAGACAGACCTGGTGTGGCTGGAAGTAAACGTTCCCCAGATGAAGAACAGAGGACAGCAGTCTGTAGATGCCGGTTTGCTCCTCTGGGGTGAAATGCAGTGTGTCCATGGCACTCAGCAGACGCCTGAAGTCCTCTCCGTCATCCTTCCCCTCTATGGTACAATCCCCTCCCTTTACACACACACACACACACACACACACACACATGCACCATTATCAGCAAACACATACTTACCCTGAGCACAATTAATCACTGCTCTAATTAAAGAGCGACTTATCAGGAGCTGAAACTCTTGTTTATGTGAACATTCAGAAGTTTAAAGTCTCACCTCGCTGCAGTGAGGTAGAAATGCAATGTAGAGATGCAACACTTTCAACCAATGACAGTGAGGCGTAACTTTTTTAGCTGCTAAGATATTCATTAAACTAGGATGGCATCGGTAGAGGGCAAACCGCAGTCCACTGTCATTTAATCAAACTTAACACTCTTAGATATCAGTTCCCTAAACGTGTCTGATTTTAATCTGCATTAACATTAAATTGCTTCGTTCTTGGCCCATGTCCCATCCATCCAGTCCATCAAGTTTCATGGACATTTGTTTTGTGGAGTGTGATCCTGCTGACAAACAGAGCAACCAACCGGCAAACTACGCCCCAGTTGCAGGTAGCAGTAACCACAAACTCACATTGATGAAAATCTGAACAGCTAAGGATCTGAGTATGAAAAGTATGTTGTGTAGTGTTTCTTAAGGTGTCATGAAGTGGTAGGAATGAAGCCAGGAGAGCTGGAAGACGCTTCAGAGACAGAACAGAAACCTGAGAATTGGTTAAATATCCATGAGTCAGTGTCTTAATGGGAGAAATTGTCCGTAAAGCAACCTGAGGCTCTCAAAGTACGCAAGTTAAATCTGAGGGGGCTGCAAGATGATTCATGAATCTAACTCGTATAGTATTCACAATTTTAGTTCAGCATTTTGCTAATAAGCACTAAACATCGACACACAGCTGAGCTTTGCAGGTAATTGGACTGAAAGTGGAAAGGATGAGGCTTCGTGATGAAAAGTTAAAGAATTATCAAAGCATTCAATCCAGTAACTGCAGAGACATCGCACTAAACGCCAAAAAATATCTACAGGTACCACAGACAGTCGCATAAACATTTAATGGTCAATAGTTGCTGAGAGATTTCCGTGTGGATCAGAGTGATGGACGTCTGCAGTTCCTAAAGACTTACTCTTTTCATCTTTGTTTCTTTTCTTTGATTTGTTTTATTACTCACATGAAAATCCCCTTCGACTACTCACAGCTATTTATACAACATTTGAAAAAACAGCTAATTGCATTTATCATTCAACATACCTGAACCTCCACTCACAGGTTACTCACTCTGTATTTAGCCACAACAGTGAGTTTAATGCTCGTGCCATTAATCACGCTGCAGAATAAATGACACATTTTAAAGAAATTGACATCTCATTTGTTAGTGCGACTGTTAAATTGATTGCAGTGACCCCTCCTTAACCGCGTCCTGCGTGTGTGTGTGTGTGTGTGTGTGTGTGAATTTCTCCATTTGTGTGTGTGTGTGTACCTGATTCAGATAGTAGTAAGTCTCAGCTTCCTGCAGATACAGCGAGCTCTTCTCATGGGGAGGAAGACCAGCTAACATCTCGTAGAAGATGTGGTAGTTCCTCTCTGATTTGGCCTGTGCATGAACACAAACACACACACACACACACACGCACACGCACATATACTCTTCGATTTAGATCTGTGGTGGAAGATTTCCTGACGTGATGTTACAATAGAAAATGAATGGCTGATGAATATAGGCACAGATGAAGAGCAGCATGTTTGACATCTCTCGTGCTGTCTCCTGCTACAATCTCATCTTTCTCACGGTGACTCAGATGTAAGAAGACTCCACCTGACCCGCTGTGTGTGTGTGTGTGTGTGTGTGTGTGTGTTTTTCACCTGAAAGACAATGCGAGACTTCTCCAACAGGTACTGAGACGTTATGGCACCACTGATTACACCCCTGGTAGATGACACGCAGGCAGGCACACACACGTCCGAGTTAAGTAACAGGTCATGTAAGTGTAATGTGCTCAGCTCTCTGTCACGGCTCTGTGTTACTGGGACATGTTAGCATATTCACTACTAGTTATATTTCAAACCAAAGCAAAGACACGGTAACACATTCATCAACACACTTTCTGGACATTTTCATTTTTGTTAAATATGTTTGAACATATCTTCCCTCTAGAATTTAGTTTCAGGAAGAATGAAACGAGCTCTAGATGCTTTACTTTTGTGGCGCCGACATCTCAACACTGTTGTTCTGTTCTTGTTAAGTTGTCATCACTTACTCCTCCATGTAGATCTGAGTGTATTTGCCAAAGCGTGAAGAGTTGTCGTTGCGCACGGTTTTGGCATTCCCAAAAGATTCCAACAGGGGCATGGCCTCCAGGATCTGACCAATCACCCAGAGACAGACACCGTTACTGTGGTTACCGTGGTTAAGAGGGATGCTCATCGCGTCAGCAGAGGAAAAACAAGAGGAGGAACACTTTACCTCTATCTGATGGTAAAGGACAGAAAACAAGGGAGAAGGAGGGAAAACAAAGTTAGATTAAATGACCACAGTGAACACGTTGTATTTGCATGTATGTACTTAAAGGTACATATGTATATAAACATAATAAAACGTATATATCTACCTGTTGTGTGATGTTGCGTTTGTGATGTATGGCTGTCAAGTAACGCAGGATTAGTTTTGTAGCTTCTGTCTTTCCTGACCCGCTTTCTCCGCTGTCATAACAGAAACAGTTCGAAACGTCCGAGTATTTTATAGCACGTATTATTTTTTATCATTGTTTTTTTTTAAATACATATTTCAAAAATATACTAAACGTCATTTTGTACCTGATCACGATACACTGGTCCTTTTTGGCATCCATCATGTTGGTGTATGAGAGGTTAGCAATGGCAAAAAGATGACTGCAACACAACAACACATTTTCAATTAATAAAAGCATTTGGGTGTTCATATGTGTGTGTGTGTGTGTGTGTGTAGATGTGAAGTGGTGGTGAAATCATAACCAAACTCTCCCTTGGCAACCAACCAACATCGGTGACACAGGAGCCTCTCACTAACACCTGAGAGTGCTGGCATTTACTCCATTTACCACCATACTGCATCTCAGAGCGCAGCTTACGACACATGTAGACAGATGTAGTACAACAGTGTAATCACAGGAGCTCGGAGTCTCAGAGGTTTCAGTTAAAGGTTAGAGAGTTTAAATTATCTACTCCTCTCAGAGGCAGAAAGCACTGAGAGGGCTCATAAATCTACCAGGGGTTTAACACTCCTCTACATTTGTTATTTTAATGGGACAATAATATTCAAACTGTGTTTCTTTCTCCCTCTTTTTAAAAACTCTAGTAGTAGTAAAAACCAATCGCTTGAGGGTTGCATAGGGGCTGGAGTAAATCCCAAGTGACACTGACTTGGTTATCAGCCAAGACAGACAACCATTCACCCCGACGGACAGTTTAGAGTCTCCAGTTAACTCTGTGGACTGTGGGAGGGGGATGGAGCACCCGGGGAAAAGCCACAAAGACACGGGGAGAACATACAAACACCAGCTGAACTGGGATTCAAACCAGGAACCGTCTTGCTGTGAACCAGCAGTTCTAACCACTGCACCTTGTTCATATGATAAATGATTCGATCGATATAAGCTTCATGTCTTGTCCTATGAGCTGCAGAGTTACCCTGAAAAATAGCCGTTTTGATTTATGTATGATGTAATTTTCATCACTTATTATATGATTTCATATGACGGTGAATCAATTTCAGAACAATTTAAGATTTGTCGTAATTTTACCACCGTGTTGTTGAATTATTTATCTTTGCTGCAAAGTTGAATTAATTTTCTGAAAAGCAGTTTTTCATGACTTTCCACACGATTTTGTCAAAACCTACAAGACCTTTCCTGCTCATAAACAAACACACACATCCATCACCGTCCTCCGTAGCCATGACAACACAGAAGATAACATTGAGTTTAATTGACTTTAATTTACTTCCTGAACTCCGACCTTAAAATATGACATTACCTCAAAATTTATCGACTTACTTTTGATTAACCCGCATAATTTGACAGAGTAAACAGATTAGGTAACAAACACACACACACACACACACACACACACACACACACACACACACACACACACACACTCCTAGGTCTTACGGAGGGTTGTCGCCCAGGCCGCGGCCTTCATACTGAAGCACCACGTCTGTGCCGTAAACGTTCAGCAACTTGTAAGGATTGACAGACACAAGGATGCTGCCTATGTACGTCTGTGTGGAGGAGGAAAACAGAGGGAGACAAAAGGAGAACGGATGAGTGGAGGTAGCTGACCGTGACATTTGATGATATTTGTTATCCAATTTGCATTTTGGAAATGAGGTATACATAAACGAGTTCCTGGTCGTAGCGCTTCTTCAGGTTCATCAGAACTGTGGTCTCATTCAGCTCACTGAAATCAAACAATGAGGAAATTAAACACACACACATTCACAGAGCACATATTGTCACACTGGAGCAGAATTCCCACACTTGCTTTGATTTTGCAAAATTAATTATGCTTCAATGTCACTCAATGACTTTCTCAGAGAAAACTGGTAAAACGATGGGACGTTATGAGTCACACAGGGGAAGTTTTTACTTGAAGCAGCGTGGGATTATGAAAGCTGTTGTCTTCACCACCATTGCCAATTAAAATCTACCAGAGGTGACTCAGGCTCAAATAATGTTCATGGACGGGATAATGGATTCAAATTTTATTCACGTTTTCCTTCTTCATATGTTGTTTGCCCCGGAAGTTAGAGTAGAGGCAGTCGTGGGTAAAGTGAATATGACGCGATTGAAAGGTGACCACAATAAAACGTCCTGTTATCCTGAATAGAAATTGTGGATTTCTCTATACGTGAACATCGTTGGAAACATTTTTTGGCAGTGCAAGTATAAAAGTCAACAAATACAATAATATATAACATGGATCTAGTTGTTTTCGGACATTTTAATAAGGAATTGTTACACGTTATAATTTTAACGAACTTTATATTCAGGATTTCTGTCAACTTGACTCTGCAGCAACAAAATGTTTTGAAGAAGAGTGTGACACGAGACATGACCAGCTGTGAGGCTGTTTGGTAATACTGGTTTGTGCTTACGGCAGCTGTGTCATGTCCTCCATTCCCTCTGCCCAGTTCTTCACCCTGTGGCCTGTTGTGGGCATGCTCAGGATGGAGAAGATCTGGGCACACGAACATATTGCTATGTAATTATTCCAATACTGTCATGCAACATTGTCAAAGCTTGAGGGACATTGTCATCGCTTGATGCAGAGCGAATTTAAACTATGCAGACATTTGAATATTGTTGTTAGTTAACTATGCAGGAAAATGTTTAAGGGCCGTTCACCTCCTTTGTCGTTTGTCACAAGGAATCATAAAAAAAAAACTTGACCTACCTTGTCATACCAGCTTTGACCAGGTGCTCTATCTCTGTCAGGAGTCCAGTCTGGGTCCTGCTGTCCGTCCAAAAATCGAGATGTGGGGAAATATCCTTCCAGCACTCCGTCTTCTTTGTACATGGCCCACTTTGTCAGATTCTGGACTGTCCCATGTGGTAAAACCCTCTCAGCTGCCCAAACGTCTTCCCCTCCCTCCCCTCCACCTCCTCGGGTATTCCTGGCCCAGTGGCCTGAGTGTGGCCCATAGGGAGGAATCACAGCGTAGCGGTTATCCTCACCCTGCAGGCCTGTTGGGACCCTGTATGACGCATAGCGAAGATTCTGGTTTTGGATGGCGTCAGACAGACTGGGGTTGTGGAACCGTCGCGTGAGAAGAGATCGATCCGGCAGCCTGGGTGGCAAACAAAGGCTCTCATCAATAAACATCATGTAACACAGGGTTTCAAAACATGGAGCAAGACATGACTTTGACTTTTAGGGAAATCTGTTATGGTAATATAAATGACAATTTAAGTTTCTACATTTAGGGGTGTTTCCATCACAGGACCAGAGGAACAAAATCTTTTCGAACAAGTTAAAAGCTTGTGATGGATTTTATTACACCGAGGTGTAAAAGTCCTTGCTTCAGGATAAATACTTTCTGTTAATCAGAGACTTTTCTGTATTCATGCACTGCTTCATTTGCTTTGTTGTCACCTGCCTAAATTATTCACTGTGTCAGGAGCCAATATGAAAGTAGTGATGAGAGAACAAATAATTGAATACAAACTAAATAACACACTCTCGTTTCATGTTTAAATGCAGAAACAAGAAAACATTCAACAGATTGACTTCAGCAACACACACTGGAGTTTTCTCTGTGATGTCATCCTCTGTCCCAGTGCCCATTAATAGTGCAGTTCCCTACCTGTAACTGACACCACGGAGTTCCTCGTTCTTCAGCACAGAGGAGAGGTTGGGAGGGGTGGGTTTAGGGACGCCTGACAGTGCAGAGTTTTCTGACAGATGATAGAGACCTGTAGATCGAAGTGCCTTGTTTTGCCTCAGGGCACCTGCAAGGTTGGGCTTCTGGCCGGGGATAACCAGGGAACCGTCACGGAGCTGGTATGATGCGTTTCGAAGGTTCTCGTTCAAAAGAGCCTGCAGGTTAAGTTACAGTTACATGCAACTAAATAATACAAATTATTTTCATCATATAGTATTATTCAAAATAATGTCGAAAAGGTTATGTTTGACTTTTAAACACATGTGGACTGGATTTGAAAAAAAGGTACAGGAAGCAGCTAAGTTGAAATCAAGATAAGTTGATACACACCTTAGACAGGTCAGGGGCAACGGGTTTCCGTGGGTCTATAATGATGGTTCCGTCAGGCAGGGTATATGAGAGACCCTTTAGATAGGGGTTCTGCAGGGCAGCCATCAGATTGGGGCTCTTTGGTTTCCTTGGATCCACTATAATAGTTCCATCTGGGAGCGTGTATGAAGCTCCTTTCAAGGCAGGGTTGTTGAGAGCCTAAATATTACAGTAGCAGGTTTCATTAAAAGGAAGCAAGAGAGGTTAAACTTTTCTAGTCTTATTGACCACTATATGCACTTTACAGCTAAATTCTCCCATTCACCCACCAGGGGCAATTTGCAATTCAATATTTTGGAAGAATGTGGACTCCAGGAGCCACAGCCACCAGGATTTTCTAATTTATGTATTAATTAACAGATAAGTGTGTATGATTAGCAATTATTATCCACAAAATACAAAGAGCTCTATAAATTTGGAGAAATAATTTTAGATTTGTGAAAACTGTACCATTCTCTACCATTATTACCGTATGGATGACAGGAGTTATAGATCAAATCACACACAATGTAAAACACACAAAAAACAAACCCAAAGAGTCTGTATCTATAGCTAACCTTGGTCAGGTGTGGTGTTAAGGGTATATTAGGGTCATGAATTCCTTCTGGCAATTTGAAGGCTGCGTCTCGCAGCATAGAGTTTTGAAGAGCATTGGACAGGTTTGGAGAGACAGGTTTCCGTGGATCAATGATGATAGTGCCATCTGGCAGCATGTACGATGCGCTTTTCAGGTACGGGTTCTGAAGTGCGGCTGACAGGTTCGGGGACTTTGGTTTCCTGGGGTCAATCACGATGGTGCCATCAGGAAGAGAGTAAGAGGCTTCACGCAGAGCTGGGTTGGTCAGGGCCTTAGCCAGGTTTGGGGAGATAGATTGCTGCACAACATAGACATTACTTTAACTTTAGCTGATAAAATGTAATTAGAAGAAAATATGTTATTTCATTAAAAGGCTAATTCAATTTAATTCAAAGATAAAGAGTCATGGGTTACTTGCTGTCTGGGGTCTATAATGGTGCCATCAGGGAGAGTATATGAAGCAGTCTTGAGATCCTGGTTCTGAAGAGCTCTGGAAAGGTTAGGAGACATGGGCTTCTGGGGCACACGTGGGTCCTGTGTGGATGGGAGTGATAGGAGAGTACAACAATAATAATGCAATTTGTTATCTTTGTACTGTATGAACACAAACATAAAATACATCTCAGGTTTCCCTTTGAGATGTTCCTTTTCTACCTACCCTGATAACTGATCCATCGGGCAATGTGTATGAGGCGCCACGGACTTGTTGGTTTTGCAAAGCATTGCCAAGCAAAGGGGAGGAACGTGAATTTGCATATGGTGACACCAAGGTTCCGTCTGGCAGGCGGTACGATGCCTGCATCATCTGTGGGTTTTGCAGGGCACTTCCCAGCATTGGCGAAGAAGGTGGTGGGGGCCCATAAGGGGACCGTCTGAGCTGCATAGGTGTCTGATAAGATGCTTGGCGGAGGTTAAGGTTCTGCTGTAATGCACTGTGGACGTGAGGCCCAGCCGGGGCATAAGGATTTCGGCGTGGCATCATTGGTGATCGTAAAGATGAAACACTTTGCAAGTCAGCTCGGTTCTGCAGGGCATCATGGAGCAATGGTGCTGGGCCAGGCTCAGAGATATAATCGTATGGGGTAACGACAGTTGGCCCATATGGTGAACGAAGCTGTGGAGTCTGATAAGAAGCTACACCCCTCAGTGCCTGACCATGTCTCATGGCTCCAGAGAGCATTGGAGATGAAGGCACAGATCCAGCATATGGYGACTGAGGCCTCTGAAGGGTAGACACATAYGATGCATCTCTCACRGCCCGATTCTGCAGAGCTCCAGAGAGCATTGGAGATGAAGGCACAGATCCAGCATATGGYGACTGAGGCCTCTGAAGGGTAGACACATAYGATGCATCTCTCACTGCCCGATTCTGCAGAGCTCCAGAGAGCATTGGAGAAGAAGGTGGTATGGGTTGTTCATAATGGGACATTGGTCTTTGTAAAGGAGAAACATAGGATGAATCTCGTAGAACCTGATTCTGCAGTGCCCCAGACAGCGTGGGAGATGAGGGAGCCATAGGCTGCTCATAAGGTGACATTGGTCTCTGCAGTGAGGAAACATAGGATGCATCCCGAATGGCCTGGATTTGCATTGCACCAGATAAGGTAGGGGATGAGGGATAATAAGGTTCTTCATATTCAGGAGCCATTTCACCCATGCCTACCACCTCTGGGCCAAGGGGTGAATAAAAAGACGCCTGCCGGATGGCCTGATTCTGCAAAGCATTAGATAGCCTGGGAGAAGAGGGAGCAACAAGCTGATCAGCGTAAGGATCAGCATATGGGTCAGACAAGTATGCTTCTGGTGCATAAACAGGTGGATGGGAAGCTCGAGGAGGCAGGAGGGGAGAGGGCTGACGGGAGAGTCGAGGAGAGAGGCGTGGGGATGCAGGATGGTGTTTCAGAGACAGTTGAGGAGAAGCAGGAGGCATCCTTCTCATAGGCTGCATAAGGGGACGTCCTCGAGCTATAGGGCGAGGAGGAAACCGACCAGATTCTCTCCTCCCGAGGGGAGCACGGTGGACCATGTGAGGGGAGTGGAAAGGGGAAGAGTGGAGGGAGTCTACTGTGAGAACAGAGGACCTATTGCTCCTCATAGAGGAAGCGCGGAATGGACGCACATTTTGGGTGGGTGGGGGCACTGGACGCCCTCTGAGACCCATAGGGGAGGGTCTGACAGTACCTAAAGGAACATTTCCCCCCATCCTGGGCCTGGGTAAGGGGGTGGGGTCTCTGAGCAGCCGAGTTGAGCGGCGAGAAAGGGTGGGGGAGGATGGGGCTGGACGGTGCCCTGCAGGGGATAAACTGCGATGAGATGGAGAGGGAGATGGTCTCCTGCTGAGCTGTGGAGAGAGAGGGGGAGATACATGACCAGGGGAGAGTGGAGCAGAGGGTGGCCCATGCATCCTCCTCTGCCCAAATGGACTGCGAGCGGCAGTGGGTGAGGCTGGGGGACTGCGCCTCCTCATGGAAGCACGTGGTGAGGAAGGTGGAGAACGTTGCCTCATTGATACTCTTGCTGAGGTTGTTGGACTTCGCTGTATCAAAGAAGCATGAGGAGAATGAGGGGCTAAGGGTCCTCGAGCTGGAGGAGAAGGTGATCTCTGAGGCTGCATTCTACGGTGGGCAAGGGGGGACGCCATGGGAGATACAGGAGGTGAGATCTGTCTTGACATAACAGAGGGGGGTCTTTGAGCACTTATGAGCCCACTCCTCATGGAGGGTTGTGGAGAGGGGCTTCGTCTACGTGGAAGCATAGGAGAGGGCACAGGTGAAGGCATGGCAGAGGGGTGGCGTGGCATCATGACAGAGCGGCGGGATGGAGTCGGAGAGGGTAGCATATGGCGTGCAGGACGAGGGGACATACTTGCTTGTTTAATAATCATGGCAGTTGGAGTAGGGATTAATGGTGGGCCATAGCCCTGCTGTTGTGGCATCATCATTGGATCTGATATCATCTGCTGATTGAAAAAGATAACAGAAATAAAAGAAGTTAAGGAAGCAACACATTTGGTGAAAATGAGATAGAACATGCTTCGGTGTGATAACAACTACCTAAAAATGACAGAAAAGTATCTAAAAACGTATAATGTTGGAGGAGGAATTTATGACCTATACTTCAGCCAGCCACAAGGGGGACGAAAGAGATGCTTTGGCTTTACTTTAGGGGGGATGTTATGTTGTCTCTATTTACATTTTTTAATACTACAAAAAACCTAGAAAAGTTACTACAGCTACTACAAAACACTGTATTATAATGAAAAGTTAAATCATTATGACAAACAATGTAATACTACACGACTCATTACAGACAAGTAACACATGTATCTTATCTCTTAAGCTACAGTATATTTTTAGATTGACCTACTATCTGCTCTCGAAAGCACAGTAGAAATTTTCACAAGTTCACCCTTCATCGAAACAGGGCTCAGGCTGAAAGTTTTCCCATCTATAACCCTCTAGCAAGACAGAGTAAGGTTTTACAAAACCAGTGACAAAACAGACAAAAGCAAATTACCTGTGGTGAAATCAACTGAGAAGCCACCTGTTGCTGCGGCAGCATCATTTGCTGTGACATCATCTGTTCTTGTGGTGACATCATTTGCATCATCTGTTCTTGTGGGGACATCATTTGCTGTGACATCATCTGTTCTTGTGGGGTCATCATTTGCTGTGGTAACATCATCTGTTCTTGTGGTGACATCATTTGCTGTG